GTTGGGATCCCGCCCCTGTCTCTGAGAGACACAGTGTCCCTGGGGCTCCTGATCCAGCCTGGCAGGGACTGCACTGATCTCCCAGGGCTCAGCCTTCTCCCTGGAAGGTTCCAGATCTGTCTCAGGAGGAGAGAAGACGCCCACATTCCCAGCAGTGGCTCCTTCAGTCTGCAGCCCTGGGTCAGCCATGGCCTCTCCCAGGCCGGGTTCTCTGCCCAGACCCAGTGTCTGAGTGTGTCAGCCTTACACACCGGGACCGGAGTCTCCTTTACCTGATGGGAGAGGAGGACACGCCTACCCTAGGCTGGTTCCCCAGTTTCTACAACTTTCCAAAAAATACATTCTCCCAAATTCCTGTGTGTGAGGTTTGCATCCCTCCCTCACCCCAATTCTCACTCTTCCTAGAATGGTCACGTGAGCTCTTATGGGGTGCCCTGAAAAAACCTCTAAAATATGTGGGTTTTTTAATTTTGTCTTTCTTTTTTTTTAACTGTCATTTTCCTTCAGTTAGTTTTTTCTTCCTCACTGGGGTGACACTGTTTTGCCCTCCCTTTTCATTATCATCTGTATGAGTCTCCACAGGTGTCATGGGGGACTGCTAGTCTGGATAATTAGACAGCTCAGTGTTCCCTTTAAAGGAAAGAGTCCCATGAGCTTACACTATTTTCTGCCACAATTAACTATCTGAACCCCCCACTAAGTTCCCTCAGCCCCAACAAGTTTCAGTGTTGCCCCAGTGAATTAGGAGTTGAGCTTCCTCAGAGACAGGGTCTTCTGCAACTGAAGACTGGAGTGACAGGAAAATCCACACACCCCTGTGAGCACCGCTGTGTCCCAGTGAGTGCTGCACTGGGCTCCACAGCAACTTCCAGGGATCCTGGGTGACAACACCTTGTATCTTGTCCCCCAGAGGCAGTATTGGGGAGTCATTTTCTCTAGGTGAGTGTCAGAGGTTCACCCCATTTCTGCTGCACACTTGGTGTTGTCTGTTCACTTGGACAGTTAACCGTTGGACTGGTCAGCAAGATGGCCACAGCGGTTGTGATTCAATGGTGGCACCCTTTATGTATCCCATTCTTCATAATTTGTTATATTGATATGATTTTAATCATGTATGTAAATTATATTACATCCCTTTTTCCATTCTTTTCCCACCTAACTTATGGTATAGAACATTATATAAGGAAGACCATGTGACCTGCTGGGTCATGTGATTCCCTCTTAGCTTCTGGGCTCTCCCAGGAAAATGTGCAGATCTGTGATGAAGGGGACCAGCTCCACCTGCAGGTCACTAGTGGGATGGCAGTCAGAAGCGTTCAGACACATAGTTCAGTGTCATCATTGATTTAACTTAGTCTATGCAGATTTCAGTTTACCTTGTTATTGTGGGATTTCTTAAATCTTCCACACAGATCCCCCAAAGGCACATGTGACCCAACATCCTGGACATAAAGGTGATGTCACCCTGAGATGCTGGGCCCTGGGTTTCTACCCTGCTGACATCACCCTGACCTGGCAGAGGGAGGAGGAGGAACAGACTCAGGACATGGAGCTGGTGGAGACCAGACCTTCTGGGGATGGAACCTTCCAGAAGTGGGCATCTCTAGTGGTGCCTTCTGGAGAGGAGCAGAGATGCACATGCCATGTGCACCATGAGGGACTGCCTGAGCCCCTCACCCTGAGATGGGGTAAGGAGGGAGTGGGTGCAGAGCTGGGGTCAGGGAAAGATGGAGCCTTCTGCAAAGCCTGAGCAGGGTCAGGGCTGGGAGCTGGGGTCATGACCCTCACCTTCCCTTCCTGTCCTTCCCTTCGCAGAGCCTCCTCAGTCTACTGTCCCCATCATGGCAGTCATTGCTGTTCTGGTTCTCCTTGGAGCTGTGACCATCATTGGAGCTGTGGTGGCTGTTCTGAGGAAGAGGAAGGGAAAAGCAGGTAGGAAAGGGCGGGATCCGAATTCCCTCTCAGCCCCTTTTAGATATGTGCTCTGCTCATGGAAAGGCATCCACACCTACATTGCTCCTGCCTCTAACCTGGGACTTTTGTTGGTTCTGGAAACTTCCTAGGGTTGGGCTCCTCCCTGATCTCTCATGGCTTTTCTTCTCACAGGTGGAAAAGGAGGGAACTATGCTCCAGCTCCAGGTAAGTGTGGGGAGAAAGATTGTCCCTGAAATGGGTGACATGAACCTGGAGTGCTTAGGGGGGCTCTGGAAATCCATAATAGCTCCTCCAGCAAAATATTCTAGGGATCATGTTTTTACCTTCTTATGAATATATGTGTTTTTACCCAAGGCAGGGACAGTTCCCAGAGCTCTGATGTGTCTCGCCCAGTCTGTTAAGGTGACACTCTGGGACCTGAGTTGGGATTGGGGTGGGGGGCAAAATGGACGTGATTGGGTTTCAGGGACTCCCAGAATCACATGTGAGTGAGTGGTGGGTTGTTGGGATGTTGTCTCCACAGTGATTGTTCATGACTCTTGTTCTGTAGCTTAAAGGCAGCTGCCTGGTGTGGATGGAGTGATAGACAGTGTGTTCAGGCCTCTCCTGTGACATCCAGAGCCCCTCAGTCCACTCTCACCAACAGTGACTGATGTTCCCTGTGATCCTTTGGGCTCAATGTGAAGCTCAGCCCAGCCCTGTCCTGCACACCAGGACCCTGTCCCTGCACTGCCTGTGTTCCCTTCCATGGCCAACCCTCATGTTCCAGCAGACAGGAGGGGACATCTCCATCCTGTCACCTCCCTGATGCCCTGAGCTGTAGACCCTGACTTCCCCAATGAAAATAAGGATCTCAATTTGAACTTGATTGTTCACATCCTTGATCTGACAGGTTGATTGGCAGTTAAATAAATTATTGAGATACTTAGAGATTGTGGAGGAAATAAACATTAATGTGGAGAGCCTCCCAGAATCTGTGTTCATTGTATTGGGTGCATCTGGTGGGACAGAATGAGACTGTGTGGAAACTGAGTGTGAAAAAGGGTGTGTCTACATGGACCTCAGTCCACTGTTGGCTTTGACATGGTCACTCCTCAGCTCTGTCACCTCCTGGCTCTGTTCTCTTCATCACTTAGAACCACATGCTGAGATCTGTGATCACAGGGACACAGGGATGGCCAGAGCTTTGTCTTGTCCCAGGATTGTGAGCAGCCAGGGCAGCTGTGACATGTCGCCTGGGCTGTATCTCTTACCCCATATTTGCTGTGTATTGTTGTCTTTTTAGTTTCTGTGGAGCACTGGGCCTGTTCTTGTTCCTGTGGGTGGAGTCTGTCTCCTTATCCCTTATGCCTCCTGAGTGACAGCATTAAAATGTGTTTCTCCTTCCTTTCCCATCAGGACCCAACTAGATCCCTGCACTCGGGAGACTGTGACCTAAGAACATGAACTTCAATCTGAGCTCCTGCCTCATTCCAGGCCCCTCCCTGGCTCTCTCCTTCTCTCCCATCATTTAGAATTTAAGCAGAGTTGTAGGATGGCAGAGAGAGGGATCCACAGGGTCTCATCTCAGATCTGTCCTGTTGGATCTGTGTTCTGCCCAAGGTCCCCTCTCCCTCCCTGGCTCTGGGTATCCTGGTGCTGCCTCCAGTGGAGATTCCAGGATTTACAGGCTGAGCCTACCTTAGATTTGTGTTTGTTTAAAAGACATGATCCAGGGACTGAAGAGATGGCTCAGGATTTCAGATCACTGGCGGTTCTTGCAGAGGAACCATGTTAGACACCAGCACCTACACCGTGGCAGATAGCCATCCATAACTCCTGTTCCATAGCATGAAATGCCCCCTGTGGACACCAGATAGACACAAGGTGCAAATACCTACAGGCAAGAATTCATTCACAGATGTAAAATAATGAATGTTTAAAAATAGGTTGTGGGGGGCTGGAGAGATAGCTCAGAGGCTACGAGTACTGACTGCTCTTCCAGAGGTCCTGAGTTCAATTCCCAGCAACCACATGGTGGCTCACAACCATCTACAATTCAATCTGGCACCCTCTTCTGGTATGTAGGCAGAACACTGTATATGTAATAAGTAAAATAAATCTTAAAAAAAAAATAGGTTGTGGGAACACCAGAGATGGAAAGTACTTCATCCCCTGCTCCAGGTTCTGGCACCTGTGGTTTCTCTTCTAGCCTTGTGACTTCTAGTCAGGAGCTCCAGGAGTCTTAGCAGAGATGTCTGATGACCAAGGAGGTGATAATCTCTGTCGTGATGCAGCCATCTATGTCTTGTGAGGGATGATGACTTCTAGTGCCTGGGACCCAGCAAACATTCATACCCAAAAAAAGTTTGGTGAATGAAGTAAAAAAAAAAAAAAAAGGATCATAGATCATAGACAGAAAGGCAGGTAGGTGGGGGGGGGGTGGGAGGGAGAGGTTGGCTTTGCTGAGTGAAGAGCTCAGGTGACCCTGACCTCAGTGTGAGGGGACCTGGTGCTGCCCCTGACACACCAGCACTTGGCTGAGGTTGTATTAACAAAGGGAGCTCCTGTAGGGGAGGGAGGTGATGGTGTGAATTTTCCTCTAGAGTGAAGGAACCTTCCTTCTGAAGTCAGGAGGAGGCTGATGGGGCTCAGGAAACACAAGAAGCTACAGGTTCACGGAGCTGACACAATGTAGCACTTCCCTCTCAGGGTTAAACCAGCTGTGGTTCCAGAGGGAGAGGAGTCTGTTGAGCGGAGAAGCTGGGAGCTGGGCAGGGGACTCAGTGATGCAGCTGCCTGAGTGACATGCACACTGGGGTGGGATGTCAGTGCTTATCCCTGACTCACCCAGATCCTGTGAGTGACCAGTGAGCTCAGGGCTCACCGAGCTGATGGTGAATGGATGTTCTCCTTGGTCTGCTGTCACTGTCTCCATCTGGGGTGGAGGGTATCCACTCCTCAAGCAGGGGACACAGTGGTCTGTTCCAGATGTGAGATGTACACTCTGTTTCTGAGACTCGCTGGGTAGTGATACGGTGTTGCTGGTCTCCTGGAGCCAGCACTGTGGTGGGCAGACGCCTGTGATACAGTGAAGGGAATAAACAAGGACAGGCTGTCTCAGGAGCTGGAGGGCAGAAGGGGAGATGCCCAGAGGTCAACTGTTTAGACCAGTGCAAAGATTTATTCTCCTGACTGCTGGACCAAGTTCTTGACAGGCTGGGGATCCTGCAGTGAAGATGCTCTGAGGCAGGAGCATGGCTGTGTGTTCTGAGAAGACTAAGGATGCAGATGCCTGGAGCAGAGTCACAGTCTGTCTGCTCAGTGAGGCCCGGGAGAATGCTGGAAACATCCAACTGCTCCATAGCAGCTCCTTTTGAGTTGAAACCTTCTGTCTTAGAGGGACAGGGAGGCTCACAACACTCAGGAGGTAACAAAGGTCATGTGTCTGGGAGAACAGCAAGTTGGAAGAGTGTGCTGCATAGGGAAGAGTGTTCACTGCTCTTCTAATGGACATGAGTTCAATTCCCAGCACCCACACGACTGCTCACGGCCATCTGCAGCTCAGATCCTAGAGATCCAACGCCCTTCTCTCACCTCAGTGTGTATTACACACGCATGGTGCAAACACAGACACGCAGAGAAATCACCATACATGTAAAGTAAAACAAGTCGTAAAAAATTGGTTCAGGTGATGGTTTTGCACTCATTTAATCCCAGCAGAGGCAGGCAAATCTCTCTGAGATTGAGGCCAGCCTGATCTACAGTGAGTTCCAGGGACAGTCAGGGCAACACAGAGGAAAGCTGTCTTGATGAGAACAAAACAAAACCTTGGAAAATTTTCAATGACTCCTCCCCAACAGTATAAAAGGAGTATCACATCGTGACCAGTCCACTGTGGAGAAGAGAGTTCTCTGATTGTCTAGCTGCCTGGAAGCTGTGCAGAGAGCTCCAGGGAGAAGTTTCACGAGTCATTTCCCCTGTTGGAGTGGGCTATTCAGTGATGCCGTGGACTGTGACTTACCCCTCTCCCACAGGCCTGTTAGTGACCCACTCTCCCCTCTCCTATTCAGCATAGCACTCCCAGCCTTGGGCTCAGCAAACAGGAAAAGGAAGGAGATTATGGGACTCACATGCACGGAGAAAGGAGTCAAATCATTGTACCCGCAGGTGACAGGAGTCTATATGGAAAGGACCCCAAAACACCTTCAGAAAACCCCACAGCTGATGACCACCTCTAGCAAAGTGTCAGGTTGCAAAATCATCACGCAGGCATCAGTAGCTACTTTGTTTACAAGAAAACCACACTGAGAAAGAACTCAAGGTGGAAAAGTTCCATCACGACACCCCAAAACCAAAAAGCTTGAAATAAGCCAACATGGAACATTCCAAGATGACAACTACAAAACACTGAAGAAAACAGTTGAGGAAGACACTGGAAGGTGGGAAGATCTGCTCTGCTCATGGGTTAGAATAATTAATGTTAGAAATGGTCTTCATACTAAAAGCAACCTACAGATCTAAAGCCACCAATCAGAATTCAGTGCTGTTCTCACGGATATAGGCAGAGAAGTCAAGCAAAAGCATAAATACCCTGGACAGTCAAAGCAATCATGAGCACTGGAATAATGCTGGAGCCAGGCATGGGGTGCACACTTTTAATCTGAGCAAGTTGGGAGACAGAGGCGGGCAGATCTCTGTGACTTGGAGACCAGTCTAGTCTGGTCTGCAGATAGAGTTCCAGGCCAGCCAGGACTACATAGTGAGACCCTGTCTCAAAACAGCAACAACAGGAGCTGCTCTTCCAGAGTCCTCAGTTCAATTCCCAGCACCCACATGGTGGCTCACAGCCATCTGTAATAGGATCTGATGCTCTCCTCTGGCCTCTAGGCATGCATGCAGAACATTCATATATAAAATATAAATAAATGAATAAATATTAATAAACAAAAAAGCCCCAGCAACAACTGGGAGGTGGTGGTACACACCTCCTTTAATCCCAGCACTCTAGAGACAGACAAAAGCTGATCTCTGTGAGTTCAAGGCCAACCTAGTCTACAAAGCAAGTTCCAGGGCAGCTAGAGCTGTTATACATATAAACCCACTCTGGAAAAACCAAAAACAACAACAGCAAACAAACAAAACAACAACAGCAAAAACATATGTCATTTCCAGTTGTCCATCACAGACATACAGTCAGCATGGCACTGAGACAAAACTTTTATGTGTATGAGTGGTCTGCATGTATGTATGTATGTATGCATGTATGCATGTATGTGACCACATGGGTGAGTAGTGCCCTAGGAGGTCTGAAGGCCTCAGAACCTCTGGAATTACAGTTATGGATGATAATGAGCCTGATCATATGTGCTGGGATTGGAACCTAGGCCCTCTACAAGGGCTGTAAACACTGTCAACTTCTAAACCAGTGGTCCTCAAACCTTGGGTCATAATCCCCATGGGGGTTGCATATCAGAAACTTAAATTACAATTCATAACAGTAGCAAAAATTAGAGCTACGAAGTAGCAATGAAAATGATTTTCTGGTTGGAGGTCCCTCACAACATGAGGAACTGTATTAAAGGGCTTCCCCATTAGGAGGGTTGAGAACCACTGTTCTAAACAATCTCTCCACTTCCCAGACACACTATTCTCCACAAAAGTGCCAAGTCTATATATTACAGAAAATAAAACATCTTCAACAAATGAGCTGAGAAAACGGTGTCTCATGTGGAAGAATGAAACTCAGCCCTTATCGCTCACTCTGCACTCAAACCAGCCCCAGATGCACCGGACACCCCAGTGTGAGAACAGGAACTCCACCTGACTGTGTTGGCACACGCCTTTAATCCCAACACGGGGAAGGCAGAGGCAGGTGGATCTCCAGAACAGCCAGGGCTATAGACATACCCTTGAAAAATGAAAAAAGGGAGCTGGAGAGATGACTCAGCCATTCAGGACACTGGCTGCTCTTCCAGAGGATCAGGGTTCAATTGCCAGCACCCACACGGCAGCTCACAATCATCTATAATGGGATCCGATGCGCTTTTCTAGTGTGCAGACATACAAGTAGAGCACTCATATAAAAAAACAAAACAAAAACAAAAAATACCACCAATAGAAACAAAACTCTGAGAATGTTAGGAGTAAAAGCAGAGGAAACACTTTAAAATAAAGGCAGGGGCTAAAAGCAGTGGCCAGGCACAAGGGAACAGGCCTTTGGGCAGAGGCAGGGGCAACTCTGTGAGCTCCATCAGCCTGTTCAAGTTTCAGGCAGGACAGTCAAAACTATGTAGACAGACTCCATCTCAAAAGTAAAACAAGAAAGATAGAGGCAGAGAAAAGCGCTTTGTCAAATAGGACACTAGTCAGCCAGGAAATAAGACAACAATCACCAAACAGGACTTCATGGAATTCAGAGTCTTCTGAGCAGCAAAGAGAACAGTGAACAGAGTGAAGAGAGGTCACAGAACGTCTTCGCCAGCTCCGCATCAGACAGAGACTAACACCCAGAGCACACAGGAACTCAAAAACTAGACACTAAGAAAGCAAACAGCCCAATCACACAGTGGGGCATGGGGATGAACAGAAATCCCTCAAAAGAAGAAATGCACACTCAGGAGTCAGAGGCAGGGGAATCTCTGTAAGCTTGAGGCCAGACTGGTCTACATGGCAAGTTCTGAGACATCTAGAACTACTAAGTGAGATGCTGTCTCAGAAAGTCTATTCCCCAAAGCCACGGGTTGTTAAAAAAGAAAATGGCACCCAGCTCCAGGCCTGAGCTGTCTCCCTGTGAATTGTCTGGCAGATGGCCCCAACAACAACACGGGGAATTACCAGTGCTCCCAGTTGCCCACAAGAAGCAGGTTACAAGACCAGTTGCTGGGGACACCACATACTTTAATTACAGGACATAGAGAAATTAAGCCATAATTAGACTGAGAGCATCCCCCTGCTGTGGAGTGTTCTCAGTGCTAGAAGGGGCTGCGGGGAACCCCGTGTGCCACACTACCCAAAGGGACATCTATGCCACGCCCCTCACGTCCCAGGAGCATGGCAGGTTGTCAGGAGGGGTGGAGAACTGTGAAAGGAGCTCCTGAGTATGACATGACCACTGCAGTCTGAAACCCTGCTGCACACTGACCCCTCACAATGCCTCATGCAGGAGGGAAACACTCCCTCCCTGAGGATGGCTAGGCAGACAGCGGTGGCGGTAGACACTGGTAAGTAGACTGCACTCCTGTGAGCAACGCTAATTAAACACATTGGACCACCAAAAGCTAAACAAACAAACAAGGAAGACACATGTTAGGGTCTCTATTGCTGTGAAGAAACATGACCATGGCCACTCTTATAAAGGAAACATTTAATTGGGGTGGCTCGCTTACAGTTCATTATTATCATGATGGCAAGCAGGGCAGCATGCAGGGACTTGATCCTGAAGGGGCAGCGAAGAGTCCTATCTTGCAGGCAACAGGAAGACAATTGAAACACTGGGTGGTGTCCTGAGCATAGGACCCCAAAGCCACCTACCAACACCACAGTGATACACTTCCTCCAACAAGGCCATACCCACTCCAAAAGAGTCACACCTCCTAATAGTGCCACTCCCTATGAGATCACGGGGACCAATTGCACTCAAACTACCACAGCATAGAATCAATATATTATTTTTAAAGAAGAAACTGCTTTTCTCCAAGACTGCTGGAGAGGTGGTTAGGGATGAGTAAATGTGCTGACTGCTCTCCTGCAGCACCAGGTTCAGTTCCTAGCACCCACATGGAGGCTCACAGCCACCTGTAACTCCAGCTCCAAGGGACCCTGATGCCCTCTTCAGGAACCACGGGCACATCCATACATCCATGCAAAGAAAAAACAATCACACTCATAGAACAGAAATAAATATGTTTTAAAGAAATCTGATCCTGGTGTTGTGGTGCCTGACTTTAACCCCGGGAGTCAGCATTTGGGGGAAGGAGTCAGGTGATCTCTGTGAGTGTGAGACCAGCCTGGTCTACATAACAAGTTCCAGGTCAGCCGGGGCTACATAGTAAGGTACTGTGTCAAAGAACAATTCTACGGGTAGAGTTCAGGTCGTCAGAGTACGAGGTAAGAGCTCAGCGGCTCAGCCAGCTCATGGCCCTGAATACTGAACTCCTAAGAAGTGCTAACATCTGCTGCTTGTCCTGAGGGCCACACTGTGAGAGCCCCTGTCCCAAGCCTGACTGGCTGGTGTCTCAAGTCAGAAGACAGGGAGAGGGCTGCCAGGAGAATACACCACAAAGCAGGCCACGCCCTGTCCATCCTAGAGAGCTCACCAACAATGACAGACACTCAGGAAGGGAGCAGGCATGGAGTCAGAGATCAACCAGAGGCAGGGACTTTACACACAGCACAGGGCTCTGTTTCTGGCTAGTGACCTTCTGCTTGGCCTTGTATTGTCGCTGTCGGGGCTACGATGTAACCAGAGGGACTCCTCTCGCCCTCAGATGGAGTGACATAGTTTGAGGGGTTTGAGAAAATTACAGGGTCAACAGAAGGAGCAATAGTGACGCTGAAAATTTGGTGATTGGCTTCAAATGTATCCAGGCTTACCCTAAGTACAATCAGGGTTTCCCACCGATAGTGTGATGGCGCCATGGAGTCACTAGAGGGCGCGCTGAGCTCGCGGAAGCCGCAGTCCCGGGGCCCTGCAGAATCCCTTGCAGGAGAGTTTAACAAATTGTCCTTTACTACACTGAACTTGTTTCTTTATTGTGACAATTATCTTCTGCTTTCTTTTTAAATTTTATCATATTACTTTACGGTTATGGGTGGTTTGTCTCCATATACGTGTCTGGTGACCCTGGGAAGCCAGAAGAGAGAACGGGATTCCCTAGAACTGGAGTGAACCCGCTTGTGGGTGCTGAGACTCAAACCCCAGTCCTCTGGGAGAGCAGCTGGTGCTCTTTACCACTGTGCCATCTCTCCAGCTCTCGCGTTTTCTTTTGTTTTGCAAGTGAGTGGGTTCTGAGAAAGGATCTCACCTGTAGCCCAGGCTAGCCCGGTTCTCTATGCAATTCAAGGTTGGTCTCAAATCCAAGGTGATCCTCCTCCCTCAAGCTTCGCAAGTGCCGAGTTGATTAGGGTGAGTCTCCGCATTCCGCTTTAACGCACGTGTAAAGAGAGATGATGAAATTATGGGGAAAAACTATCAAAACTGGTAGGAGGCATCTCCACTCGAGAGATGCTATATTAACAGTTCCACTCGTTCTGGTTAGGTTTTCCATTTGTCCGTTTGTTAGGTTTTTGTTTTGTTTTGTTTTGTTAGTGTTTCAAGACATGGTTTCTCTGTGTAGTCCTAGTCGTCCTGGAACCTTGTCTGAAGACCAGACTAGCCTGGAACTCCCAGAAATCCACCTGCCTCTGCCTCCCAAGAGCTGGTATCGAAGCTGTGCGCCACCACCCCAGGGCTCTTTTTATTTTTAAAGATTTTTTTAAAATTTTATGGCAGGGCTTCCTGAATGTGGTACTCCAGCCCCAGAAAGACAAGTCTTGGTCCCGGGCGGTGAGGTCCTGGTGGGGAAGCCCAGCGCTGGGGATTCCCCTGTCCCCAGTTTCACTTCTCCAGCTCCTGACCTGTGTCAGCTCCTTCTGCCCAGACATTGATGACGACTCGATTCTCATCTCCACTGGGTGTCAAGATCCCGGGGAACCAATCAGCGTCGCCTGGGGCACCCGGTATAAAGTCCAAGCAGGAAACTCGGATGCCCAGATCCGAGATGGGGACGATGGCGCTGTGAGCGCTGCTCCTGCTGCTGGCAGCCGCCCTGGCCCCGACCCAGACCCGCGCGGGTGAGTGCGGGGTCGGGAGGGAAAGGCGTCTGCCGGGAGGGCAGGGGCGGCACCGGGGAAGCCGCGGCCCCGCATCGCCAGGCCAGACCCTCCCGCCCCTTCCCCTCCTGCGTCCCGAGCCCCGCGCCCCGCTCCCCTCCCGGCCGCGCACCTGCCCGGAGTCCCGGGAGGAGGTCGGGGTCTCACTCCCTGCCGCCCCCAGGCTCGCACTCCATGCGGTATTTCTCCACCATCGTTGTCCCGGCCCGGCCTCGGGGAGCCCCGGTACTTGGAAGTCGGCTACTGTGGACGACACGGAGTTCGTGCGCTTCGACAGCTTCAGCAGAGAATCCGAGAATGGAGCCGCGGGCGCAGTGGGTGGAGCGGGAGGGGCCGGAGTATTGGGAGAGGGAGACACAGAGAGCCAAGGACAACCAGCAGAGTTTCCCAGTTGACCTGAGGACCCTACTTGGCTACTACAACCAGAGCAAGGGTGGTGAGTGACCCAGGGTCGGAGGTCACGACCTTCTGGTCCCTAAGTATGGGCCAGAGTCGCCCGGGTCCTATCCGAGGTCAGGGAGGAGGAGAACGGGGACCAGGACACCAGTTTCCCTTTCTGTTTAGAGGATGCATGGGATGCAGGACCGCGAGTGGGCGGGAGTCCCCTTTGTGGGGCAGGTGGGCTGGACTGACCTCTGGCTCCCCCAGGCTCTCACACCTTCCAGTGGATGTCTGGCTGTCAAATGGGGCCTGATGGGCACCTCCTCCGCGGGTACAGTCAAAATGCCTACGATGGCAAAGATTTCATCGCCCTGAACAAGGACCTGAGGACATGGACTGCTGCGCACACGGTGGCGAAGATCACCCAGAGCAAGTTTGAGAGGACTGATTTTGCAGAGAGATTGAGAGCCTACCTGGAGGACACGTGCTTGGAGGGCCTCAGCAGACACCTGGAGTATGGGAAGGAGCAGCTGCTGCACACAGGTGCAGGCGCCCAGGGCAACTCCTCCCCCTGCCCTCAGGCTGGGCTCTGTCCTGAGGAATAAGAGACCTCAGCTGGGGTCCTGCCCCTGTCTCTGAGGGACACAGTGTCCCTGGGCTCCTGATCCAGCCTGGCAGGGACTGCACTGATCTCCCAGGGCTCAGCCTTCTCCCTGGAAGGTTCCAGATCTGTCTCAGGAGGGAGGAGAGAAGATGCCCACATCCCCAGCAGTGGCTCCTTCAGTCTGCAGCCCTGGGTCAGCCATGGCCTCTCCCAGGCCGGGTTCTCTGCCCAGACCCAGTGTCTGAGTGTGTCAGCCTTACACTACCGGGACAGGAGTCTCCTTTACCTGATGGGAGAGGAGGACGCCCCTACCCCAGGCTGGTTCCCCAGTTTCTAGAACTTTTCCAAACAATGCATTGTACCAGATCCCTGTGAGTGAGGTTTACATCCCTTCCTCACCCCAATTCTATCTCTGTCTTCCTAAAATGGTCACGTGAACACTTTGGGGTACCCTGAAAAAAAAGCTCTGTTTTTTCTATTCTTTGTTCTTTCTTTTTGTTTGTTTTTGTTTTGTTTTGGAGATTGGGTTTCTCTTTGGCTTACATAGACCAGGCCGGTCTCAAACTCAGAGATCCCTCTGCCTCTGCCTCCCAAGTACTGGGATTAAAGGTGTGCACCAACACAGCCCAGCCTTTCTTTTGTTAAGTTGTCATTTTCCTTTAGTGAGTTTTTCTTACTCACTGGGTGATACTGTTTCACCCTCCCCTCTTATTATCATCTCTATCAGTCTCCACATATGTCATGGGGGACTGCTAACTGGATAATTAGACAACTCAGTGTTCCCTTTAAAGGAAACAGTCCCATGAGCTTAGACTATTTTCTGCCAGAATTAACTATCCAAACACCCACTGCTTTCCTTCTGCCTGACCAAGTTACAGTGTAACCTCTAGTGAATTAGGAATTGAACTTTCTTGACTGACAAATAAAATCCACACACTCCTGTGAGCAGCACTGTGTCCCAGTGAGCACTGCATGGGGCTCCACAGCACAGTCCCAGGGACCCTGGGTGACAACACCTTGTATCTTGTCCCCCAGAGGAAAGGTCTGGGGAGTCATTTTCTCTGCCCCAGTGTCAGAGGTTCACCCCATTTCTGCTGCACACTTGGTGTTGTCTGCTCATTTGGACAGACAGTTATGCTGGTCAGCAAGATGGCCACAGCGGTTCTGTCTCAATGGTAGCAGCATTGGTAGGTGGTACTCTTTATGTATCCCATTCTTCCTAATTTCTTATATTTATATGAATTTAATCACATATGTAAATTATTTTCCATCCCTTTTTCTGTTCTTTGACCATGTAACTTATGCTATAAAACATCACATAACGAAGACCATGTGACATGATGGGTCATGTGATTTTCTAGTAGCTTCTGTGTCCAGAATGCAGATCTGTGATGACCTGCAGGTCATTAGTAGGATGACAGTCAGAAGTGTTCAGACAAATAGTTTAATCATTAATTAAATTTTGTCTTTGCAGATTTCAGTTTACCTTGTTATGGTGGGATTTCTTAAATCTTCCACACAGATCCCCCAAAGGCACATGTGACCCATCATCCTGGATCTAAAGGTGATGTCACCCTGAGATGCTGGGCCCTGGGCTTCTACCCTGCTGACATCACCCTGACCTGGCAGAGGGAGGAGGAGGAACAGACTCAGGACATGGAGCTGGTGGAGACCAGACCTTCTGGGGATGGAACCTTCCAGAAGTGGGCATCTCTGGTGGTGCCTTCTGGGGAGGAGCAGAAATACACATGCCATGTGCACCATGAGGGGCTGCCTGAGCCCCTCACCCTGAGATGGGGTAAGGAGGGAGTGGGTGCAGAGCTGGGGTCAGGGAAAGATGGAGCCTTCTGCAGAGCCTGAGAAGTGTCAGGGCTGAGAGCTGGGGTCATGACCCTCATCTTCCCTTCCTGTCCTTCCCTTCCCAGAGCCTCCTCAGTCCACTGTCCCCATCATGGCAGTCATTGCTGTTCTGTTTCTCCTTGGAGCTGTGACCATCATTGCAGCTGTGGTGGCTGTTGTGAGGAAGAGGAGGAGAAACACAGGTAGGAAAGGGCAGGGTCTGAGTTCTCTTAGTGTGCTCTGCCTCATGGAAACACATCCACACCCTCATTGTTCCTGTCTCTAACCTGGGTCTGATGTTGTTTCTTGAAAGTTCCTAGGGTCAGGTTCCTCCCTGGTCTCTCACAGCTTTTCTTCTCACAGGTGGAAGAGGAGGGAACTATGTTCCGGCTCCAGGTAAGTGTGGAAAGCAGGATTGTCCCTGAGACCCTTGGGGTGGACCTGGAGTATTTGCAGACCTCTGTCACCAATATTAGCTCCTCCAGCAAAATCTCCTAGGGGCCATGTTTTTTATCTTCTAGAGTGTGTGTGTGTGTGTGTGTGTGTGTGTGTGTGTGTATTCAGTGACAGTTACCAGAGCTCAGATGTGTCTCTCCCAGACTGAAGGGGACACTCTGAGACCAAACTGGGGAGGGGCAAATTGGACATGATTGGGATTCAGAGACTCCCAGAATTTCCTGTGAGTGAGTGGTGGGTTGTTGGGATGTTGTCTTCACAGTGATTGTTCATGACTCTTCTTTGTAGCATGAAGACAGCTGCCAGGAATGGATAGAGTGACAGACAGTGTGTTTAGGCCTCTCCTGTGACATCCAGGGCCCCTAGGTTCACTTTTAGCAACAGTGTCTGATGTTCCCTGTGATCCTATGGGCTGAATATGAAGAACTGGGAGCCCTGCACACCAGGACCCTGTCCCTGCACTGCCTGTGTTCCCTTCCATGGGCAACCCTCCCGTTCCAGCAGACAGGAAGAGACACATTATCCTGTCACGTCCTCCTGCTCTGAACTTCAGGTCCTAAGTTCCCCACTGAAACTAAGGATCTCAATTTGAATTTGATTGTTCACATCCTTGAGCTGACAGGCTGATAGCTGTTAAATGTATTATTGAGATACTTAGAATTTGAGGAGGAAGTGAATGGCAGCATGGAGAACCTCCCAGAAATGTGCGCATCATGTTCTGTGTCTCTGGTGTCACAGGATGAGGCTGTGGGAGCTGAGTGAGAGCAGGGCTGTGTCCGGGTGGAGCTCAATTTGATATTGGCTGTGACATGGTCACTCCTCAGCTCTGTCACCTCCTGGCTCTGTTCTCCTCATCACTTGAAAGCACATCCTGAGATCTGTGATCACAGGGACACAGGGATGGCCAGAGTCCTGTCCTGTCCCAGGAGTGTGAGCAGCCAGGACTGGTGGGACAGGTCACACTGGGCTCTCACCTGGCTGTAGCATTTTACCCCATATTCGCTTTTTATTGTTGTCTTATCACTTTTTATGGAGCACTAGGCCTGTTCTTGTTCCTGTAAGTGGTGCCTGCCTCCTTATCCCTTGTGCCCCCTGAGTGACAGCATTAAAATGTGTTTATCCTTCCTTTCCCATTAGAACCCTTCTACGGCCCCTGCACTCAGGAGACTGTGACCTAAGAACATGAACTTCAGTCTCCTGAGCTCCTGCCTCCTTCCAGGCCCCTCCCTGGAGGTTCTCTCCTTCTCTCCCATCATTTAGAATTTAAGCAGAGTTGTAGGATGGCAGAGAGGAGGGATCCACAGGATGTCATCTCAGATCTGTCCTGTTGGATCTGTTCAGCCCTAGGTCCTCTCTCCCTCCCTGGCCCTGGGAAACATGGTGCTGCCTCCAGTAGTGACTCCAAGCTTAGTCTACTTTAGATTCATGTTTATTTAAAAGACATGATCCCTTTTGTCTTGTTGACTGTGTCCTTTGCCTTACAGAAGCTTCTCAGTTTCAGGAGGTACCATTTATTAATTGTTGATCTCAGTGTCTGTGCTACTGGACTTATGTTCAGAAAGTGATCTCCTGTACCAATTAGTTCAAGGATACCTCCATATCTATATCTATATATCTATATCTATCTATATATATGGTTTCTCTCTGGCTTTGGAGACTGTCCTGGAACTAGCTCTTTCAGACCAAGCTGGTCTGGAACTCACAGAGATCCCCCTACCTGAGTGCTGGGATTAAAGGTCTGTGCCACCACTGTCCAGCCCCACTTTTTCTTCTATGAGATTCAGTGTGGCTGGGTTTTGATCCATTTGAACTTAACTTTTGTGTATGGTGATAGATATGGATCTATCTGTAACCTACATGCAAACATCCAATTATGCCTGCACCATTTATTGAAGAGGCTTTCTTTTTTCCATTGTGTAAGTTTACCTTCCTCATAAAAAATTAGGTGTTCACAGGTATGTGAGTTAATATCAGCATTTTGAATTGGTTCCATTGGTCAACCTCTCTGTTTTTGTGCCAGTACCAAGCTGTTTTCATTACTATAGCTCTCTAGTAGAACTTGAAGTCAGGGATGGTGATGCCTCTGGGAGTTCCTTTATTGTACAGGGTTGTTTTGATTGTCCTGGGTTTTTTGTTTTCCATATAAAGTTGAGTATTGTTCCTTCAAGGTCTGTGAAGCAAGACAAAATGGCAGCCAACAGAACGGGAAAAGATCTTCACCAAACCAACATCTGACAGAGTGCTGATTTCCAAAATATACAAAGAACTCAAGAAGCTAGTCAACAAAACACCAAATAATCCAATGAAAAACTGGGGTCCAGAACTAAATAGAGAATTCTCAATAGAGGATTCTAAAATGGCTGAAAGACACTTAAGAAATTGTTCAACATCCTTAGCTATCAGGGATGTGCAAATCAAAACAACTCTGAGATACCATCTTACACATGCCAAAACACCAGTGATAGTTTGTGCTGGAGAGGATGTGCAGAAGGGGAGCACTCCTCCATTGCTGATGGGGGTGTAAACTTGTACAGCCACTTTGGAAATCAGCATGGCAGTTTCTGTGGAAAATGGGAATCAGTCTACCGCAAGATCCAGCAATTCCAGTCTTGGGCATATACCCAAAGGATATGAAATCAAATAACAAGGACATCTGTTCAAATATGTTCATAGCAGCATTGTTTGCCATAACCAAAACCTGGAAGCAACTTCGATGCCCCTCAACCGAAGAATGGTTAGAGAAAATGTGGTATCTTTACACAATGGAGTGTACTTAGCGGGGGAAAAAAATAATGAAATCTTGAAATTCCCAGACAAATGGATGGAACTGGAAGAAACCATACTGAATGAGGTAACCCAGTCACAGAAAGACAAGCATGGCATGTACTCACTCTTATATGGAGATTAAACACAGAGAAAAGGACTACCAGCCTGCAGTCCACACCTCCAGAGAATCTAGGAAACAAAGAGGACCCTAAGAGAGACAGACAGGTCCATGGGTTGTGGAATCTCCCTCTCTGGCTAAGGAAAGCAGCTGAAGCCAGCTGTGTCAGGGATGTCCCTGCATGAAGGCCCAGAGAGGCCATTGTATGAAAGGATGACACAGTCATGGGACACCTCTCAAAAACAGGGGCTAAAACTCTGTGGACTCAGCCCAAGAGAGAAGGGTGTAGCGGTCAACAGAGCTAAAAGGAGTTGGAGATCTGAAGACTGCTATGACATCACACATGGAGATGCAGGTTGGAGTTTGCCCAGCTGGAGTTTGGTCTTGCTTTGGTCCAGTATTCCCTCACTGTGCTCACTGTTCTGTCTCTTGGAACAGTAATGTGTATCTTGTGCCACACTGTAGGTTGGAAATATGTGCTTTACCCCTTAATTTTCATTTTTTTTACGAGACAGGGTTTCTCTGTATTGTTTTGGAGGCTGTCGGTTCAGCCTGTCCTCGAACTCACAGAAACCTGCCTGCCTCTGCCTCCCGAGTGTTAATTTTGATTTTATTGAGATTTCAGTTCAGACTTTGCCAGGAGACTCATAAGATACTTTGAACTTTGGACTTTTTTTATAGATTTATCTATTTATTTACTTATTTATTATGTATACAATGTTGTGTCTGCATGTGTGCCTGCATGCCAGAAGAGGACACCAGATCTCATTGCAGATGATTGTGAGTCACCAAGTGGCTACTGGGAATTGAACTAAGCTCCTCTGGAAGAACAGTCAGTGTTCTTAACCTCCGAGCCATCCCTCAAGCCGGAACATTAGACTTTTACACAGGGTTGAGACTGTGATTGACTCTGGGGACTTTTGAAGTTGAACTGAATGCCTCAAGAAACAACAAATATATACAGTTGTCTGTTCTCATGTGAAGAGCTGGGGAGCCCAGCCCAGCCTAGCACACCAGGACCCTGCCCCCACACCACCCAGCTCCCTTCCAGACCCAACCTTCCTGGTCCAAAACAGAGAGGAGGGTGCAACGCCATCTTGAAACCTCCATGCGGCCTTGAGCTGCAGATCCTCTCTTCCCACTGAAAATAAAAATGTAAATGTGAACTTGATGGTTCGTGTCCTTGACCTTGGAGATTGACAGTTTAAATTAAAGGCGAGAATTCAGAAAGTGTGGAGGAGAAAATATATGGCAGCTGGAGAACTTTCCAGAATCTGTGTCTGCTGTGCTGAGTGACAGCAGGGAAAGGAGGAGTCTGTGGGAGCTGAATGAGGATGGGGCTGGGCCAGGTGGAGCTCTGTCCATGTGGGTTAGGTGTGGTCACCCCTCAGCTACGTCCTCCCTGGCTCCTTTGTCCTTGTCACTTAGTATAACCACATGCTGGCAGACTCTGATCACAGGGATACAAGGGTGTCTGTCCCCAGACCTGCCCTGTGTCCAGGATTGTGAGCATCCTGGGCTGCAGTTTAAGATCTGCCAGGGCTCAGTGGTAGCTGCGGCTCTTTAACAAGCTCCCTGTTTACTTCTTGTCTTCTTGGTTTGTATGGAGGAGCAGCCCTGTTGTCATTCCTGTGTAATGTGACCACAACATGTGTTGTTTCTCCTGTCCTTGTGCCTACAAGGACCCTGGACTCAGGAGGTGACCCTCAGTCCCCTGAGCTCTGCCTCCTTCCAGAGCTGTTGCCTGGAGGTTCTGCCCCTCCCCCAAACTTTCAGAATCTAACCCTTGTGTGTTGGATCTGCAGAAAGGATTGGTCCACAGGGTCTCATCTTGGATCAGGTCCTTTTGGGACTGTGTTCTGCTCAGCTGCACTTCTTCTACCTCCCTGGCTTAAAGTGTGGGTACCTAGGAAATTGGTCAGGACCACAGGGACTTTGATAATATTGGGATCAGCAAGTGAAGCCTTGTGTGTGTGTGTGTGTGTGTGTGTGTGTGTGTGTGTGTGTGTGTGTGTTTGAATCTATGTAGAACATCTTAGTATAAAAAAAATCTAACTTTAACAGTGAAGAATTAGCTGTGCAGTGGTGGTGAACATCTTTATTTCCAGCACTCCAGAGACAGAGACAGGAAATTATTAAGATCCTGGTCAGCCTTGTACAGGACTTTCAGAGCTAC